TATATATATATATATATATATATATATATATATATATTTATATATATATAAACGCATCTATTAAAATTATTATATAAATTATTATATATAAATCCTGAATGTCTGTCTTGCTTGTTGATTCTCTTCAGTTCTTGCAAATACCTTATATATTAAAATGTATTTCAACAAGAAATATAGACAGTCACACACACCTGAAAATATGTTCTCTTGAGAAAGTGTCATCTAGTTTGCTGAAAAGTTTCCCCGTTGTTCACATTTTCCCTCAGTGTATTTTCAAAAGTACTTTCAAAACCAAGTTTTCAAAAGTATTTTCAAAAGTATTTTCAAAACCAAGTCTCTGATGCTTAACTTGTAAATCAGTATTCAAAATCTTTTACCTCGTTTCGAACACCCACCTCTGGCACCGACGAGAAATACACGTCTATCACAGCCACCTTAGCAGAAGAACAGTAACTTATGTATGCACATCTCCATTGATGAAGTATGTTGGTATGTTTGTGGAAATGCTGAAAACCGATTTTCGTTTAGTCCTTTTCGGTACAAGGCTGCAATAGCCAAGCACCTAGGGACGATCAGTTCGGCCAGCTTGCCAATAGGAGCGTTCGTCGAATCCACCTCTGCCTTTCTTCCTATAAAATATTCACTAACGCCCAACTGCATATGCAATCGTGTTAGTGAATGAATATTTTATAAAACAGCAAAGCTGAAGTGTCGTGATTGATTTACCGGACGGGTTCATTTTCGTGCCTGGCGTACATTAATGGGCGTAGGTAGAAATGTGATGAGGCGTGCATTGTGTCAATCCCCACCGGACCCAACTGGCCTTTTAAATATTTGATATCTGGCAGGGTAGCTAAGATTTTCATGATTACGGTTACAATGGCCGAGGCTGAGACATTGGGTGTCGGATTCATGGGGAGAGATAAAATTGGGCAAAAGAAAAAAAAAAAAAACACGCTTGAAGAGTAGAAGAATAGAATTTTATCCGGAAACAGAAGAAAAGAACCGAATAAAAAATATATGGGGTTGGCATGAATAGAAGTGAGGGTGTAGGGCAAAACAACGTATGAGGAGGAGACTGGAAGATGGAGAGTCGTGTGAAATAACGTAACAGAGAAGGGACGTGAGTCAAAGAAGAAAAAGCGGGTAAAATTGTAAAGCAATATTCAGATAAACATAAATATAAACGGACTGAGATAGATAAATAGATTGATACAAGGAAAAGCGACAGATAGAGACAGATATATAGAAGGAAAAAGCGACAAATTTTTTATCTATCTATCTATCTATCTATCTATATATATATATATATATATATATATATATATATATATATATATATATATCTTTATGTCTATCTATCTATATCAATCTATATCTATATCTATCTATATATATATATATATATATATATATATATATATATATATATATATATCTATATATCTCTCTATATCTCTATATCTCTCTCTCTCTCTCTCTCTATATATATATATATATATATATATATATATATATATATATCTATATATATATATATATTCAAACATATATTGTTAATACAAAAAGCAATAAATGTCTATTGTGTTTAATCATGAGCCGTTCTAAACTTCGTATGGTTGCTTTAATTTCGGGTGAAAATAAAGATAAAAAGTGGCCAACATTTTGATAATTTTATTATGCTGTTACTTCATCTAACCTTTCGGCTAACATGAGCCATCATCAGAATGGTTATGTGGACGTTTGAACAAAGATATCCACCGTCAAAGATGACATCCTGTTTCTATGCGGCTATAACGGTTGCGGAATAGCAGACGCTGGACGTAAATTCGTGATGCGGTTCTATGACGTCGAACCACGTGAGAGAACGAAATATCTACAACAGAACCGTATGTTTAGATGCAATGTAATGTGTTGCGACTAGTTTGAAATGTCAACATAACAAAATAGCATCTTAGATGGTGAAAATCTTTAAATGTCCATATAACCACTCTGAAGATGGCTCATGTGAGCCGAAAGCTTAGATCGACGAACCGCATAATAAAAAATATCTTCAAACTTTGGACAATTGTTGTCATTATTTTTATCCTATATATTTAACAATATATGTTTGAATAATGATCTTCTGCCCAATAATATATATATATATATATATATATATATATATATATATATATATATATATATATATATATATATAAAGCATGTTTCATTGAATGATCTAATCAGTTTCTTGATATTAGTATGAAATTCAACAAGGCGCCGTTGTTTTTGTTAATCCGAGTACTTTCGATCATTTCAATGTAACTTTCAGGGGTAAATTACAAAGACAAACTTATTGTAACTGCAATGAAATCTGCGTTGTGATGGTGATTTTTATACCCCGTACTGAAATGTGTGCCTAGATATCCAATTGCTTCAAGTCGGGATCGAAACCATCTGCCATCAGTCAGAGATTCTACACGCAAGCTATCGTCGCACGGCAGAGCGGAAGGGAAATTTTAACGTTTTTCTATGCGAAAGACGTCAATAGCTAGGAGAGCTTAATTCAAATAGAAGAGCATTGCGTTAGTAGAAGCAGCCACTGTTTATAAAATCAGCCTTTCCGCTCCGAGATCTCAATACACATATACAGTGTAACCCGGATATAAGAGAGTTGTCGGGACTGGAGAAGAAGTCTCTTATATCTGGGTTTCTCTTATATCCGGGTTTGGTCTATTTTGTTTCGGTAAGTATGAGCTCTAATTTGGGACCAGATAAAATCTCTCTTATATCCGGGTTTCTCTTATATCCGGGTTACACTGTTACAATTTCCACAATAGCATATAAAAATTACAAAATAGAATATAAAATCTATGAACAAATTCAATTAAACAATAGGTTTAAAAACACAGCCCAATCATAATGGTAACGCCCCTTTAAGAAACCATCAACAAAAACAAAACAAAACAAAAACGAATAAACATTACAAAGGAACGTAACTAATTACAAAATACGATAGAAATATATTAACAAATTCAGGTAAACAATAGGTTTAAAAATATAATCTAATCATAATCTTAACGACCCTTTAAGACACCATCAAAAAAGCAAAAACAAAAAAAAAACAATAAAATAAACAACAAATAAATAAAAACCAAAAAGCTCCGTAACTATAAGAGCAATTCAGATACTAATAAAAACAAAACAAAGGAACTTGATAAAATTAGCTCTTGTAACCAGAAAAAAAACAAAAAAAACAGCCAACCTTACACGACTCCAACTTGACATATAACAAACATCCCTGCTTTCATCAAAGCAAAGACCCATTGATCATGAAAAACTAAGCCCAGGTTAAACTTCCATTTCAAAACTATAAATGAGTAAAACATTTCGTTGCTTAGTTTTTCCAAACATCGCTTGAGGATGAAAAAGTCATTCAACAGTTAAGGTTTAAAATTGAAATTAATCTTGAATATGGATCACTTTCGAAATTTCTGTATCACGATGGAATCATATTTTTAAAAAATAATTATAATATTTATATATATATATATATATATATATATATATATATATATATATATATATAGAGAGAGAGAGAGAGAGAGAGGTGATGCGCCATCTTTGCTAAAAGGTTCTGTTAATATAATGTGGAAATATTATATTGAATCAATTGCTATGTCTGCTGCTATGAAATTTGGTTCTCCGTTTCGTGAAAGTCAATTTTTCCTGCCCCAAACTATGTTTGTTTTTACGGGGGGGGGGGTCACCCGTTGCAATGTCTTAGGGAAACTCTTGGTAGATGATTAAGTTTAGGGAGCCATTTGTGCGTATAGTGGACGATAACTGTTAATCCTAGCCTTGAACAGGTTAAGATTAGTGATCGACGAAACATCCTGTTGGGAGTCGGTTCCGCAGAGCAGTGGCTCATGGGAAGACGCTGTTTGAGTGGATCTTACTCCTGGTCAATGTAATAAAGAGGTAATGTTGGTGGTTCGTTACTATGTAAATGGCATGTTCTTGCTTTGAAGGTTTGCCGTGGCGAGACCAAGGAATACAAATTTATGTCTATCACTCGTCTATGCTTAAAATATCGTTTCCCCGCATCTGGTTTTCCTGCTTCATATGTAGAGGCCTTAGTAGGATCCAAGTAAGAATGCGCGATATCATTGGTACTGAGCTCGCTTCTCGGCTTCAGTCACTTTCCCACCGCCGTAAAACATAGTTCCTGTGTCTTTTCTATAAATACTTCCATGTTAATTGTTCTAATGAACTCTACTGTATGGTATGTAGACGCTATGAATTTAAGCGCAGTACTAGATTTGCAGCGAGGTCTCATCATTTTACAGGTAAAATGGTTCGATCTAACAGTAACTTCTATTCTAACAGTTTTATCTATAGCATTTCTCCCTCGTGGAAATCTCTTCCGGCTCTATGCTTTCGAATCAAGATAGAAAAATTTAAATGCAATGTCGTTCGTTATCTTCTGTCTTCTTATTTTCTGTTCTTTCATTGTTATAAAATTTTCCTTTTTCTTATATTATTCACACTCAGTCATCCAGCGCGTCTTGTTGAATTTTTGGGAAATAAAATCAGAGAGAAATAGAGACAGAGAGAAAGAACAGAGCAATTCAGAAGACACATAGTTGGATATATAAGTAATATATATATATATATATATATATATATATATATATATCGATAGATACATATATTAAATAGATAGATGGATGAACAAATAGATAGATCGATATCCATCGATCTATCTATCACTCTTCCTATATATATATATATATATATATATATATATATATATATAAAGAGACAAAGTAAAAGATAAATAGATGAAATGACAAAATGATTGATACATAGACCACCCGATAGATAGATAGATAGAGAAATAGATAGATCGATGGATGAACAAATAAATAGATCTCTCTCTCTCTCTCTCTCTCTCTCTCTCTGTATATATATATATATATGTGTGTGTGTGTGTGTGTGTGTGTGAAGAGAGAAAGTCAAAGATAAATAGATGAAATGACAAAATGATTGATACATAGACTACCCAACAGATAGATAGATAGATAGATAGATAGATAGATAGATAGATCACCATACACTGTGATCAATCACGATAAAGAAACTAGAAAATGTAAATATGTCGAGAATAGTATGAACTGATCATGTTATAAGAAGGTTTTATGGCGTATTTCTTTCATTGTGTTAACTTGTGAGGGTGCATTTCACTCTTATGCAGTTTTCGGAGAGCACCGACGTGATGGAGGATTGATATGCAAGTTATCATTGGTCGTTCATCTTGTATGTTTACAATATGGCATTATTAGAAATCCGTGTTTGTGAAACGTCTGTGAGTGAAAATGTTGATGTAAGCTCTTACAAATCGATCATCATGCAATGGTAAGATCAGATTACCGATGTATTTTTTTCTTCTTTGTTGCCAGAATTTTACTGTCACACATTAAATCATTCATCAAGCCATTTGCTCTGTATTTGTCTCAAGGTCGCAGTTGTTCAATAATGATCCCAGTTTCTCGTCTGTCACATTAATAGCAAATGTTCAATATTTATAATGCGCGAATTTTTATGGTCTGGTGATCATATATTAATAATAGGCTACTCGGCTAATTTGTTATCCATTAGACCATTAGATATTAGGTGAATCGAATATATAGATATTTACAAAGGTTAGGTTAGTTTGGCACAAGGTTATAATAGTGAGGAGCACCAGAATATATTGGGTGTTCCAATAACTTGGAACACCCACTGCATGTTATACACTTAAAGTTTCTGTAGGAAAACTAGTATAGGTCAACTGTTAACAGGTTTTAAACTATATAGTATTAATATCGGCTGTTCCAATAACTTGGACGGATTTTAAGTGTGAATTAAGTTTAAGTGTCTAATATTTGTTTTTCTTTTTCTTTCAGATTTAATAACTTACGTCTTTGGCAATTTCAACTATGGAAAGATTTATAATCAAACAACGTGTTAAAGTTATCGAAACCCATTACGAAAAATGACGTTCAAACAGAAATGCATTTCGCGCACCTGGCGATTTTTTTTGTCAACATAATCGATCAACCGAGAGTGTAATTGGAAAAATTGCTCGTAAATTCAAAACAAACTGGGTCGGTGGCTGATGTGAAAACACCACTGCGTGCTCGTTTACGCCGTTCAGATGAAAACATTGCTGCAGTGCACGAGAATGTGGCCGAAAATCCAGACACCTCTATTCGACATTGCGCGCAGGAATTGAACCTTTCCACAACAACGTTACATCGAATTCTGACAAAAGATTTGTCTCTAGAGTCTTACAAAATTCAATTGATGCAAAAACTGAAACCTGCTGTTGATGCAAAAACTGAAACCTGCTGTTGGAGCGCCGTACATTCGTGAAATGGATGCACGAGCAAAGACAAGCCGACGAAGATTTTTCGTAAAAAGTCCTCTTTAGTGATGAAGCCCATTTTTCATCTTGTTGGATTCGTTAATAATCAGAATTGTTGCATTTGGGCTGATGATTGTTGGAAAGCCAATGCATCCACAAAAGGTCAATGTTTGGTGTGCATTTTTTGCTAACGGAATCATTAGGCCGTATATTTATAAATTTTAACGTCCATTTTCTTAATAGGCTTCGATAACTTTAACACGTTGTTTGATTGTTAATCTTTCGATGATTGAAACTGGCAAAGAATTAAGTTGTTAAATCTGAAAGAAAAAGAAAAAAAAATCATTAGACGCTTAAATTTAATTCACAGTTAAAATCCATCCAAGTTATTGGAACACCCAATATTAGTACTATATAGTTTGAAATCTGTTGACCTATACAAGTTTTTCTACAGAAATTTTAAGTGTATACCATGCCGTGTGCATTGAACTCATTAAATTCTTGTGCGATGTCCCTTCAGCACATGGGGAATTATGGCTTTCCACAATTTCCTACTCTTTCGATATCTTAGTAAACTTTTTGTCATTTTTTCTCCTAATCTCTGCTCTGCCAACCATTTTCACAAGTTCTTTAGGTAGGTTATTATATGCTGCTTTCCTCTGTCACTCATGCCTTCAATATGCCATTCGTCCTCGGTATGACGATAAACTACATCCAGCAGCAAGGCCTCTGATCAAGAGATTGGCGGTTTTGAGGAGCATGAAACCACATCTTAATTACCATTGTCCCCTGGTCCACCCTGACCCAGGGTGGTAGCATCTGTTGGGTCCCAGCTAAGAGCAAATAATGAATCCACAAACAAAAATCAGTAGTAGATGTTTATAGCAAAACTAGAACAATACATTTAATAATCTACATACTATGTGTCTAAAATAACATACCTTTTCTCTGAAAGTATAAAATTATCTACAAAATATTTTGGATTTCGGCATTAAATAACCCGTAGAGGTTGACATGTTGCTAAACAACATCAACCAACTAACAAACCACCATGAAAGAATATTAGTCTATAAAATAAACCTATAATTTCTTATAGAAATCTAACTGTATCCCATGTTATAACTTCAACTAAGCTACGACGTAAAATACACATATCACCTCCTCTAGTAATTATATCCGCACAAACAAGCTGAGTATCATCTACCATGTATTCAACTGTGAAAGCAGAATAACGTATAACATATTTTTATTACTTCAAAGCTCACCAGTGATGTAATGGATAACCTGTCACCCCCATGAGTAACTACACTATAGGTAGTAACTTCCTATAAGTATCTGTAAGTCAACGGATTACGTAGTCTAGCTGGGATCTGTTACTCAGCTCTTAGCTGTTGTCGAACTCTCTGCCTCCGGGGAGGTAGACAGACTCGAAGTCGTTTAAGCGGTGTTAGTGGGAATTTTGGGCCGAGCCTACGGGTTCGGATTGCAACACATGAAATTCGGCCTTGTACCACATCCTGCCTCGTGGGGAGGCTGGTAAATATTTCTAGCCTGGATCGGTTGAGTATGATTCAGATTTACGCGAGAAATATCGACCTTCCAATAAAAGCATTCATTACGGAACTGACTTGCGACGATCGTGCGCATAACTGTTTATTTCCTATTGTACTGGTTTTTACAATAAACCTTTACTTATTTTATCCAACCTGTTTTCAAGTATATATTCCTATTAGCACGGATTATAACACTAAAAAAAAATTGGTCATTAAATGACCCATAAGAAGTTGATATGCCGTTAAACAAACTAATCAAATCAAATCAATATATCTTGTGAGGGCCAAATTTTCCAACCTTCTTTCCTCGTGTTGCTTAAAAATGCCAATTATATCTTTCTGATGTTAAGTATGTGTTTTTTTTTGTTTCTTTTTCTTTAAAATTTATCAGTCTATGGTATTCTCAGTATCCTTTTGTAAAAGGACATTTCTGTTTTTTTAAAGATTTGTGTTCATCCATCATGAGATTTTAAAAAACTCTCTGCCAACATCCTCGGTCATGACGAGTTTGTCTTCATGCAAAGTCAGTCATCGACAAACAATTCTTTCAACACAATTTCACTCATAAGGTTTCTGTCAACCCGTGGTATGTTTTTTTTTTCTCGATCACCTTCCCAGTCCAAAAACACCAAGCAGCCACCTTAATGACGGCCATGCTGATATTTGAACCCGGGTCTCATAGTCAGAGTGAACGCTCTAACGACACGGTCACGCCCTCACGCCGTATGTCCCAGTAAGAATACATGTTACTTCCGCATTGGAGGACTTGTCCATAACATTCTATATATGGCATGTAACACACAACGGGCACTGCTAAAAAAAAAAGAACATATACAACGCAATAATATCTGCACATAAATCTATAACATAAACCTCCGTATTTCTCTCCAACATTAAAAATATGCCTTTTCAACAAACTGGTCAACGTCGTTACATACTGGCTTATTCGATTAAAAATTAATGATCAGTTTAACAAAGGGATAAACCAGTTACAGGGGGTCTCCCTTGTTAGATTTGTTACCAGGTTGATGTAATATTATATAGAAAAAAAAATATTTTCAAACTCCGGAGGAACTTAATACTGAAGTGCGCATCAGCGATCTTAGCCGAATTTGGAATTGGTTTTAGTTATTCCATTTTCAGGGTTGCTTAACATTCCAGTGTCCACCGTCCTGACATAAAAACGTGAATGGTGAGTAAAAAATGATTTTACATTTATGCAAAAAAAGAAAAGAAAAAGTAGATCGACGGGTCAGGATTGAAACCGTTTTTAAAGATAAATTTTTGTTGGGAGATTTAGCATTTCACAATCTGTTGGTTGAGAGAAACTGAGCGATTCGAACAAGTTCTTCTTAATATCTGAAGAAATAATTGAAATAAAAAGAAGATAATCAGAATAAACACACAGAAACAATAAGACACGGGGTTCTTTTGTTATAAACAAGCTGGTAAAAAAAAAAAAAACAAATTTAGGAGCTTAGACGCTGAAGCCGTCTTCAATTAAGCCCGCCTTAACATTGATTGTACAAGATAATCTTCGCTAACACAGCAATTCAATCAGGAAAACATTCTCCAATAATCCTGGAAGGCTTTATCTGTTCTCCCCTTAAGGAAATCTTTTCCCAAAATATAGCAATACGTGGGGTCGCTGAAAATTATTTATCAAATCAAGAAAGGATATTTTTTATCATTTCACCCCAAGCAAGGCAGCAAAGCCACTAAGACACAAGTGGTACTGGGCATGAAATAGTAAGAAAAAGAGAAAAATTATTAAGGAGCGAGAAAGAAGAAGAGTAGTCAAGAAAAAAGTAGGTAACTATTGACATTGCAATTATATTTTTGAAGACCAATGTTTGCTGGAAAGCTATGGAGACGGAATTGAGTTCCACAAGTGCGAAGTGAAAAACAAAAAGTAAATAAGAAAGAAACTGTTAGCATAGAACTTACGGTTACATCTAACTAGCTTAAATATAATTTGATCAGACTTCAGTATCTGAATATATGTCTGGAATAAGATATTATGTAAACTATTTACATTATTCGGACTATCTTTGTTGCTATATTTATCACAGAGTTTCGGCCGATGTACGATCCGTGGTTGAAATCACGAACTGAACCCTTTATTTCGCTCGCTGGGGTAGACTGTTCTAGTTCCATGTGCCATATCTAAGAGATATGTTATCTCCTTTTAATTCACCTTTCCAAGTTCTCCACTGCCTTAACCGGGTATTGAACTGACAACTCTTTGGGTTCCTTCACAGGATCTAACCAACGCCTTCATCCACTCTGCCATGTGTCCTTAAGGTCATCAGTGTATGAATTTCTGGGACTTATCAATTTAATGTCTTCAGCAACCATTTTATACCATTTTTAATCATGCAGTGATAACAGCAAAAATTGCAATATGAGCACTATTAAAAAAATGAGATGAAGACATTAAGTGAATTAACAGGAGATAACTGACATTAGACATGGCACGTGGAACTAGAACAGTCTACCCCAGCGAGCAAAATAAATGGTTCAGTTCGACATTCCAACCAACTGAAGAAGGCCGGAATGTACATCGACCGAAACGTTGTGATAAATATGGCAAGAAAGATGAGGACAATAGTCTGAATAATGTAAATAGTGTTGATCACACTTTGTTGCTAATTTAGAGCTACGCTTAAATTCACAAAGAGAATCTATGCCATTCAATTACGTGCTTATTCTCTTGGTATGGATGTCTGGATCTTCTTCTCCCTCCAGCTATGGGTAAATAGCAGGTAAGACAGGGCTCTTTAGCCTTGATTGGCAAATGGTCTAGGAGAAAGACAACTCTGAATTAAAGGAGCATCGTTTGGGGACGTTGTGGCACGTAGTAAACCAGGTCTCTTTATTCGGACCTTCAAAAAGGGCGGAAGGTTCTGCGCAAAATCTTCACCACTATAATCAAATCTCACGTGCTGGTGTCGAGCTGTCGGTTCAAGGTTACTAATCTTCTTGATCCTAATACATCGGCGAAAGAGTCGAATATATATATATATATATATATATATATATATATATATATATATATATATATATATATATATATATATATATATATAATGTGGAGAAACCTATCGCTTAACTGAATGGTGCTGGTTCAGTTTCGTGACCGCATTGCAGTGATGCTTTCACTCTTCAGGTCTGTTTGCTTATACACACACACACACACACATATATATATATATATATATATATATATATATTGTCATCCACAGAGACTATTTCCATGTATCACAGCTCATCAGTCTGGCTAGACGTCCGGTTGCCTCTAGCTAGGATCGAAACCCGGTTGAATTGGCGTCACGGCAGGGATGAAGCTAAATTTAAGCGTATATATTTCTAGATAAACACATTAAATTTTACTGTATTTAGGGTCATCAAGTAGTGATGATGATTCACTGATGATTGAGAAAAGGAATCTGGGGTGTGTTTACCTATATTCTGTAGGGTTGAAAATTCAAGCTTTGCTCGCATTAGAGCCCTGACCCCTTTTTCTACAATATCTATGTACTTGATTCAAAGCAATATTTTGGGTTGTTCAGTGTCTGATTCATATCTAAAAAAATAAAAAAAAAAATGCCAAATCTATTCAAGATATAATGCTTTTCCACAGTCCCCTTTTCTTAATTATCTGTGAATTGTCAAATATACTTGCTGAAGACAGTGGAATGCTTTCCCGTTTCACGAATTCAAAGATTTCCATCTTTCATATTGGTTGGCACTAAAGCAGAGAGAGAGAGAGAGAGAGAGAGAGAGAGAGAGAGATCCTAGTCTATTATGGTATTTAAACCAGAGATAAACGGGGAAAGGAAAACGAACTTTTGTCTTTCTCAAGACTGTTAGTGAGAAATTTAATGCAACAGACTCGGAATTTGAATTCATCTCGCCGTCTTTATTTTTAGCGACGATATCCGTTACACTACCTTCTTAATAGTAGTGACTAGCAGCATGGCCCGGAGTTGTCCGAGCTTGATTCAAAAATCGTACGACAGCAATTGCTATCACTTGACTTGAAATATTTTTGCCTTTCCTTGCCTTTAAAGGAGTACCCTTTACGCTGCTGATGTTACTACATGCCTTACTTCCTGCCTATCTCACACTGCGAATTTTTTCGAAGCTCTATACTAAACATTAAATCTGTTACGAAAAAAGAACTAAACAAAATGAACACAAAACAATCAGCTTTAAAAAAGTACTCGTAACTGGAAAAACCGAATGAAAAAAGAATGTTAACAAAAAATACTTTTTCACACCCAACCCAGTTCTGCGGAATCAGAATCAACGAATGAGACAATTGAAGTAAAGTGCCATGCAGATTTAAATTTTTTGCACTTGTGACGAATGCAGCTATCGATTTTTTTTTGCATACTAGGATGCTAGTTAACATTCGTCTCATTCAGCTGTTGGCTCTCACGCTGGTCAATAGAATCTTCCTGGCTATTCGTGGCAGCCAGCTATAGGCTCTCACTCTGGCCAGTAGAAAATGGCCGCAAACTACATGAAAACTGCCGTAGAAGCATGAAAAATCGATTATTTCCAGTATCGATGAGAGTTGGGAAATGCAATGTCGGTCTTGGGGCCTCCCCGCTAAGATGGAACATGTGCATGTAAATTTTGGTGCAAATCCGTCGAAAATTGCGGCCGTGCATTCGTTACCCATGCCCCCCCCCACACAATCCTGTCTTTTATAGATAAAGATAATATTAACAATCGGAATTCATTGACCGGACATCTAGTGATACTATCGGCTGAAATTTCTAAAACCTTTCTCTTAAAACAATAGCTTTCTCAGCTTCAGTAGCCGTTAACTCTAGTTCCATTACTGATGGGAGTTTCCTTCCTAACCTTTTGTTTGAAGTAGTGTGGAAAGTCACCATCTTGATGATGTCATTATCTTCTGATATTCATTTTATCTGTCGGTACTGATTAAAATCCTCGGAGAGAGCGGTTGTATACAGGTAAGAGTTTAGATATTTCTGAACAGGTCTGGCGTTGTGCATTTCATAGTCTCGATTAGACGAGGCTGTTTAAAAGCATAACTCGTATTTTTCAGGTTAATGTTTTGTTTTTGTAGCAACTTGCGGTATTGGGCGAAACTATCTTTATATCTTATTCTAAATTCGCTTTAAACAGTGTATTTACTAAGCGTTCTTTAGCTGTGGCACAAGGGTTTAAATACGGAACGCCCAATGTGAAGCTACACAATAATAATGGTCAATCAAGCTATAAACTCATAGTCTGTTTAATATTAGTGCGTTAGGTTACGACTTGTATACGCCGCTATCTTTTACTAGAGACCTTATTTTGGCGTGCCTTTAAGGCTTTATTTATTCTGGAGTAATATATTTTTTCGTCAACGCGTCTTTGGAGAATAAACTGCTTTCTAGGTAAGAAGGTTATTTTTTTTAAATATGTTTTCTTTAATATTGCTCGTAGCAAATCGGAGACGAAAAGATGTCAGAATGGCACCAGATTAATTATCGAAGCTTCCAAACCCGAACTGATTAAGGCTAAATCCATGAAAGAAGGGGCTCACGAGAAGTTGATTGCGAATTCACGTCTCCAAAAAGGTCTTTTATTTTAAATCTCCTATTCCTTGCTGTTTGAACTAGCTGATTGCAAGATACATCGATACAGTTTGTTGTCGTAGAAAATGCAATAATAATATGCTTGAAAAAAAAAAATAATAATAATAATTATTATACAATGGTAGCGTCAGAAATATCGCACCGAAGATGGAACATTGAATGAAAAAACGAATGAAAATTTACGAAATTTTATCATATGCATGTTGTGTTGAAATAATATAAAAAACAAAAATAATATATCTGTAAAAATCAAATAATAATAATAATAATAATAATAATAATAATAATAATAAATGCCCTGATGCTCTACCAGGCATGGTTCACGTGGCTCCTGAACTTAATTGATTAGAGAGTATAACGCGCATGTTTTGCCAATGGACCGATTTGGTAATAGGAGTCGCCCACGAAGATTTTATTTTTTGTTCTAAATTTCGTTCCTTTACGTACAGGATGCGATGGCTAAATTATCGTCTAAATTACGCTAAAATGAAAATAACATTGGCATCTCATTTCAGCAGATATATCTACCAAAAATACACAAAAATATCTTGAAATACAAAAGAGTAAATTTATTCAAGGAAATCGCCATTGGATTTAATCACGTTCTCCAGACGACTTCGCAATCGACTTCAACTTATCTGAAGAGAATTCCTTGTTTAAGTTGGTAAATGCTGCCTGTTCATCTTTGCTGTTAAATGTAGTTTTGTTGGTATGTCGGCCATTTGCACCCCACACATAATAATCAAGGGGGTTGTCGTCTGGAGAAATAGGTGGCCAGATATAACGGGTGATCTGGTCTCAGAAATTGTCTGACAGCCATGGCTGCG